GGAGAGGAAAAGGGGTTACCTCATTCAGATCAGCACGGAATGCTCGGAAGAGCTCCTCGTTTGACCTGGACATTAAAGCCAGAGAACGAGGCACTATCGGCCCCTTGCCGGCGTCGGAGGACTGGGCCCCCTGATGGGAAGGCTGGTTGACTTCCTCAGTCTTCCGCTTCTTCCGTTGAAGGGACCCCCCAGAAGTCTCCTCCTTGGCGTCCCTTTCCTCATTGGGCCGGTCTCCCACCCCCGCCTGGGACGTATGCCCAGTCTCACCCATCAGATTGTCGAACTCGAAGGTGTCTACGTTGAAGTAGATCTCCCCCGAGTGAATCGGCTGGCTGGTCCCTTGGTGAGACTGGGCCGGCAGATCATCCATCAAGAGTGGTTGGCTGGATGGAGGAGTGAGTGGCTGAGCGGAGGAGGGCTCCTCAACCACGATTTGGGGGACGGCAAACTTGGATTGAAACTTCACCACTGAAACAAAAAAAGGAACCGGTTAGAAGAATGTAGTTGAGAACAAATTAATTCAAATGAAAAATGAGAAGGGCGGTTGATTGACCTTCCTCTTCCTTCTTCTTCGCTGGGCATGAAGGACCGGCATTGGTAGTGGCCGGGGCTTTGGATCCCCTCGCCTGACGGATGGGGATGGCTTCGGGGATCACCCCGGGCAGAACAATCTCCGGTTCGGGGTCGGTCTCCCGGCCGGGGTAGACGCGCCACTTCCCAACATGGTACAGACCGCGGGTCGAGGCATCCCCGTCCCGGAGAGTGGCTTCCCAAGCAACCAGGTCATCGGCCTCCGCTGGTTTGACCTGGCGCTTCATTCTTTTCCCCCCAGACGTTTTGGGCAAAAGGAAAGGCACCCGGGGGGAATTTGACGCAGACATATTTGTCTTTCCACTTCTTGTTGGAGGGTGGAAGACCACAAAGGAATGCTCAACCTTGGTGGGAAGACACCACCACGAATCCAAGGGTTTCCTTGGACCCGGGCCGAACATCAAACATATAATCAAAGAGGCGAAGAGAAAGAGGAATACGAAGAAACCGGCAGACGTTGATAAAGCTGCCTAACAAACGGCGACCATTAGGGGCCAGCTGCCCGGGCATGATCCCGTAGGTCTCAAGGAAAAGGACTTTGAATGGGTGAATAGAGAACTCACCCAAGTCCTTGATCGAATGGTAATGGATCCCAATCGACGTGCCGGCGTGGAGAGGTATAATGCTCTTCCACGTTGCCCAGTAGGTCAATTGATACCCATCAGGCATCAGATTACGCAGTTCGTGGACTTGGGGTTTCTGCATGTACGATGGTTGCTCTTGGAGCAACCGATCGTCTAGCTGAATGAGGCCCTTGTCCCCGGACTGGGCAACCGAGACCACTTGTGCCGCGGAAGAAGAGGGAGCGCAAGTGGAAGCATCAACCGGCTTCTTCTGTGGAGAAGTAGCCGGGTGCTCAGAGTCGGAGGATGAAGAAGAAGAAGAGGAACCAAAGGTGGGAGACCGGCCGCCAGAACCATAAGAATGAACGGAGGGGTTCTCACTATCCTCACGGTCTGACATGACTCAGAGAAGGAATGAAAGAAACTTACTTGGAGATGATTAGAAGACTCGGAGGACTCGGAAATAGTAGAAGCAGCCGGGCAGGTTTTTGAATTGAAGATTTGCAAGTGAGGAAATTCCAAGGAGAACGACGCTTTATATAGGAGAGATGCCGCCCAGACGGGCGAATGAAGAAATGACACATGGTGGCTGAAATGATTTGCAATCATAACCTCTCGGGGAGACGAAACGGCACGTTAAATCGGCGGCTCTGTACCCGACTTCGAGAAGATTCTCCCGCTTTGGACCACCGTTTTTTGAAAATTCAAAATTCAAATTTCAAATATTTTGGGTTGGCGCTAGTTTTCCGAGACGATTTCCCCGCCGAAAAGCGACTGGGCTGTTCAAATTCCAGGAAATGATCGCATGTGCTTCCCGCCCCTGATGGTCCCCACAGGACCGGGAATCGGAGGACTCCTTGATGGGTAATAACCCAAGGATACCACCCGGTTGGTTCACCGAACAGCACGCGTCTTTTTCAGCCCGGGTTATTTGACTGGTTGGATGAGGAGACCAGATGCCAATACCCGAAGATTTACTTTCAAAGTGCACCTGGTGGGCCGGTCACGGCGGACTGGCCAACCTATTAGTCTCTGCACGAACTGCACGAATCCTAATAATATTTATGGGAATTTTCGGAGTAAACACTCCGTACAAAATTAATTGGATGTGCCGAACATAAACATTATTGAGGATATATCATTAATAACAAATCGGGTTACAAGTGATTCCACCTACAACCCTTCCGATTACTCACACTTAATATCTGCGTGGTAATTTACACCATCAGTAGTAGTGGGGTCTTAACTTTTCTTCCTAATTTGTCCATCCTAATTTGGCAGTGATGTGGTGGAGTTGGCAGTGTGGCGATGGAGTTGATAGTGTGCCGGTGGAGTTAGAACTGCAGTGGTGATGGCGGTGGTGGCAGTGTGGCAGCGGAGTTGGCAGTGTGGCAGTGGTGGGTGGCATCAGAGTTGGTATTGTGGCGGTGGTAGCAGTGTGGTGGCGAAGTTTAGCAGTGTGGCAACAGAGTTTAGCAATGTGGTGACAGTGTTCGCAGTGTGGCGGCGGTGGTGGCAGTGTGACGATGATGGTGATGGTAGTGTGGTGGCGGAGTTTGGCACGGTGGTGGCAGAGTTGACAACGTGGTGGTGAAGTTTGGCAGTGGGTGGCGGAGTTTAGCAGCGTTGTGGCGGAGTTGGCAGTGTGACGTGGTGGAAGTGAGGCACTGATGGTGGTGACAATGTGATGTCGGAGTATGGGAGTATGGTGGTGGATTTGGCAGTGTGGTGACGAAGTTTGGCAGTGTTGCAGCGATTGTGGCGGCGGAGTTGATAGTATCTCGACAGAGTTGGCAGTATATTGGTGGTGGTGGTGTGGTGGGTGTAGTGGTGGCACTGTGATGACATGGTTTGGCAATGTGGCAGTAGAGTCGGCAATGTGGCGGCGGCGGGGGGGCTGCGATGATGTTGGTAGTGTGACGACGGAGATGATCGTGTGACAATGGTGAAGGACTAATTATCATTTTCAGAGACAAATTGGGGAGTGTGTCAGAAATTTAGTCTTGCCAAATTCTTTTTTAAGGAGTCATATATTGTTAAATGTGTACTCTTTTAGTCCTATATAAGTTTTTCTCCCTTATACTCCCTCCGTTCTCAAAAACACTTCCTCTTTCATTTTTTCCAATTCCAACAAAACACTTCCCTTTTCTATTAAAAAATCACTTTTACCCTTACTTTTTCATACCCTACCTATCACATCATACTTTTTCTCTAATAATCTATTCATCATATCTTACTTTTACCCATCACATCAGGGGCAAAATTGGAAATCAACTATAATTTAACACTTCCTTATTTTTGCCCCAAATCCAAATGGGAAGTGTTTTTCCAAATAGAGGGAGTATAATAATTAATGAGAGAGTATTTTGGTATTGCGATTACTAAACCTAAAGTAAATTCTCAAAATAATAATTTCAAGTAAAATTAAAAATGATACATAATCTATGAATTATTAAAAATCAATCAAAATATTTTGAAATTTGAATCAAATGCACTTCATTAATTGGAAAAGGCCCTTTTGAAAAAAACTTCATTAGAAATGATAATCTATGATTTATTAAAAATCAATAAACATTTTTTAGGAATGACTACTTATGAAATAAATCTCTATTATAAAATATCATGTAGGTAATAAAAATTTATTGAGAACTAAATTGAGAATATATAACTCATTAGAAAGAGCTATTTTGAGAATTTGTACACCACCCCTTCTGCACCACTCATTTTTAATTAATTTTTATTTATTTATTTATTTTTGATTTTCTTGTCCAATTATGTGGACAAGGAGGGAGTGGGGTGGGAGGACAAATGGGTTACCGTGTAACCCTCACGTTTTTCTAATCCGAACCATTTCCTCGCCTTTATGGGCTGCAGATCAATCGGCATTATTAGCTCCTTATGCATCGATTTCTAAAAGAATTGACGAGTTTACAGAGCCCAGAACGAAGGTTTCTTGATATTATCAGAGCTTCAAATCAAAAACTCAATAATAACAAGGGAACCCATCTTCACCTGATTGAGGAATGTCTTCAGAAAGATTTAATCCCATTTGGTGGGAAAAAATCAAATTTTTTGATATGCAGACGCCACAGAGAAGGCTTGAAAATTGGCCCTAGTGTTCTATCGAGCGCTTTGAGTGTTTGCTCTTCTGAAAGGGATGCTTGTTTAGGAACTCAAATCCATTGCTTGGTTTTGAAAAACAGGTTTTTGTCTGATGTATATGTGGGCAGTTCTCTGGTTGCGCTTTATGCCAAATGTGGCTCACCTCAGGACGCCTGCAAACTGTTTGAGGAAATGCCTTCCAAGAACGCAGTGTCGTGGACTACAGTAATCCATATTTTTTCGCAGGCGTTTCAGGTTGATGTCTGTTTGAAACTGTACAATGAAATGAGGAGCTCTGCGTTGAGGCCTAACGATTATACGTTCACCTTCTTGATTAGCGCGTGCACGGGTAGTGGGTGCTTCGGTCAAGCTAAGACTATTCATTGCCAAATAATATGTATGGGTTTGGATTCTCACGTTCATGTTTCGAACGCTCTTATCTCCATGTACTGTAAAGGTGGGGGTATTGACGAGGCTCACTATATATTTCAGAGAACGATGAATAAAGATTTAGTTTCTTGGAACTCGATGATTGCAGGGTGTGCCCAGCACGGGCTTGCGCCAAAAGCTATTGAACTTTTTGAACAAATGAAGGATCAGAAGGTAAAACCCGATTCCATTACTTTTATTGGGATTCTATCAGCTTGCCGTCACGCTGGATTAGTGGAACAAGGATGGTTTTATTTCAAATCAATGGAGTTTTATGGCGAGAAACCAGCGCTTGACCATTTTTCATGCATTGTGGATCTTCTTGGACGGGTAGGGAGGGTAGGCGAGGCCTGTGATTTGATCAAGAGCATGCCTGTGAAGCCGAATGGGGCTATATGGGGTTCATTGCTCATGTCCAGTAGGATTCATGGAAATGTGGAGGTGGGGATTGAGGCTGCCGAGAATAGGCTGGTGCTCGAACCGGGGTCCACTGCTACGCACTTGCAGTTGGCAAATCTATATGCAAGTATTGGCTTATGGGATCAAGCTGCCAGAGTACGAAAAGAGATGAAAAACAAGTCCCTTAAGATTGATCCTGGGTATAGTTGGATTGAGATAAGCAATGAGGTTCATTATTTTAGAGCAGAAGACAGCTCGTTTGCACAGTTGAATGAGATCGTTCCGGTTATGCAAGTTTTGGCAGATCACATGAGAGATCTTGGGGAAGAAGTCCCCTTCGAGGTTTTTAGTTCCCAATGAAAAGTTTGATGAATTAAAGAAAGATTATGAGTTTAAAAAGCTGCTAAATTATAAATATCAGATATCTTTTACTACATGGCATCTTGATCTTAGTACAGCACTGTTTTCCTTCTGTACCCACACATCTTAAGTTTAACATTCTCAATAGGTAAGCATTGGGTTGGAAAATCACAAGCTGACATCTGTTCTTGTCCCATGTCTGGCAAAAGGCCACAGGCCTGAGGAACCACACCACTGGAAATCCCAGAAATGTTTGTGCAATTCCACTGAACCTTCTTTGCATTGTCTGCCAATCCGATGGTCACGTTGGATATGCAGATTCCCGTGAACGGGTCCCCCGAGATCCCCTCCAGCCGAGCCGCCATTGTCACATTCTCCGCCACCATGTCTCGGTAGTTTATGTTGTCGATCACCGGGAGGGCGTTCGGGTCGTAGTTATCATCCGGGTGGGACCCGTAGTCGCCCGTCATCCAGAACACGTACTTCATCGTCCTCATGGTCACCCGTCTGACGTAAATGCCCTTCACGTATGCCCCCCGCCCGACCGCCGTCTTGATCCTAACCGCAGATTCTGTATCGATCGCCACGATGTCCTCTGCCCGAACATCCTCGATCCCGCCCGACATCTCGCTGCCCAACGCGATCGCGGCGCTGGTCGGGGAAACGCAAGTCACCCGCCGGATAAGGAGCTGTTTGGTTGGCATCGCGTACGAAATCCCATACTCGTCCCACCCGCTCTTTACCGCAATGCAATCGTCTCCGGAGACAATGTAACAGTCTTGAATCCTCGTGTTGGTACAAGAATCTAACATAATCAGGCAGTTTTGTTTGTTATCATCATCATCCCCCAAAAAAAAAGTCATACAGTATGTAACAAATGTACTTGCCTGGGTTGATTCCATCTGTATTTGGAGATCTTGTAGGAGCAAGAATGGTGATCCATTGGATAATAATATCACTGCAGGAAAGTTCAGAACCTTTCAGAGTATACACACACACACACTCGCGCACACACACACATACATATACAGAGTATAACATTTCCTGTGCCTACAACTGCAAGCTTGAACGGCAAAAGAAAAATGAACGGACCTACTGTACACGGGATGAACGTTCCAGGACGGAGAATCCACGAGTGTGAGGCTGGATATTTGGACATTGTTAGAGTACATTATCTCAATGAGGTATGGTCTGGTATACTTCAGCTCCCCTTTGTGAAATTTGTCCCACCACATTTCCCCCTGCCCATCAATGGTTCCATTGTTTCCTGATAATAATTTTTTTTAACAAAAATTAACAGTTGTAAAGATTCAATTATTTAGGGTTTGGGACTTAATTAATCATATCATGAAGTTTTGAGGGTTATTGTACCGGTAATGACGACATCGGTGAGGTTGGTTCCAAAGATGAGACTGATGAAACGTCCTGCGGCGGTGTCCCTTCCTCGTCCATAGGATGGCAACGGTTCGATCACGGGATAATCGTTCTCGTCCTGATATTTAGTAAACACAAGAAATAAAATTGTTAAGGAAAGCCTTCATTTCCACTATTTGATCACTCATCTGTATTCTCTCAAAACTAAAAAAATGTGAAAAATGATTTTTTGGCTCCATTGGAAGTAAATGACACTTCTACCCTAGTATTTTTCGTGAATTTTTTTCGTTTATTGCATATTAAATCCAAACTAAGAGAATACTCAGTACATTTTTAGATAACTAAAATCGGCTCCAACATTCCAATGGCATTGATGGATGCTAAATCCACTGTGAATGATTGAGAAATGGAAATGTGTATTTGTCCCCTTAGCATATCAAGAGTAAGGGTGTAGCTACATTTAAATAGACAAGTTGGCCAATATAGCCATTAGTGACATTCAGCTCATGTCTATGCAGTCAAATTTACCTCTACCATAGTTGCTCTAAGTCTATGTTATGACTTAGAATTCTTAGAACCCCAAGAGGGTGATCCCAAGCATGACCTCATGTTTCGCACAGACCTTTAATGTCTTGTCTGTGTGTGGTATGTGCGGAACATGAGATCATGACACCCTTTTGGAGTTGCCCTAGCTTTATTGTAATTCCTATGCTGCATTCATCAAATTTGACCAATTAATATACTTTCGTCGTCCCACAAGCTCTTTTTCTTTTCTATTTTTCTATGACCCACAATTCTTTTCTACAAGTACTAATTCTTACCCAACGTATAACATCATACCTATTCATAAATAATCTACTCATCATATTAAGGGTAATTTGGAAAAATGAACAAAAAATATTTCATTCTTAAATTACATAAAAATCAAACCAGGAAAGACTCTGTGGGATGAAAGAAGTAATAGAATACTTCTAGACCACATACCAAAATTGTGACCCTTGACAAATAATCTACCTACCACACCCACTACAAAGGGAATACTATGATGAACAATTTTTTTTAAAAAAGTTGAAAATAGAGAGCCATTCTCATGAAAATTCCCCACTTTTAGCTGGCCTACCACATACATAATCACCAATCTCAACAATATTTTAAGACAGTAATGCTTTAGTTTTAACTTTGTGATGTTTCACCAAATCTTGATGACTGATGACTCTATGACTTTGCTTCCATGCAGACACAATATATACAACTTAAAAGTGAGTTAGGTCACCTTGACTCTATCATACCATACTCGCTACAGATTACATTTTAGCCGGTGGGCGTTGCGCAGTTGGCAAGACAATGGATGCCAAAGGGGTAAGACACGAGTTCGATTCTTGGCAACTGCATTGGGAGGCAACTATCCTAAGCATAGGGCCTCTGCAAGTATCAAGTGCAGACTCCACTCTTTGTCATCAATCTGTGACTAAAGACCGGTTTATCTCCCCTCAGTGACCGTCCGACTGGGTCTGAGGGGACCCTCGGGATGAGAATCATCTTATTTTTTTACAAATTGCATTTTAATATTAAATCTACGATCCAATCAATCAATTCAACTCATAATTTAATAGCCCAATCTTTTCCTTTTTCAAATGAGTCGAACCATATCTCACTCAACCAACAATAAAACCATTTTGAACACCTGCTTTGAGACTGTTTTCTCATGATTAATGTTTTAAAAAAGTATTTGTTTTGAACTTTTGATTTTGACAACTTCTTAAGTTTTGCTTTCTTCCTATATATAAAAAGCTGAAAATCAGAATTTTCCAAACATTCCAAACTGTCTTTTTTTTCTCTCGAGCAAAGAGATGATGAGAAAATATTGAATTCAATTGAATCAATAGCTTTTTCTCTCCACCATCCTCTTTTTTCACTTGATCCAACCATAAAACATTTAAGCCAAACTAAACTAAAAAGAAATATTGAATTCAATTGATTACTTGGTTATTTCAAGAAACAGGGGAACCTGAGAAGCAAGAATGACGGCGTTCTGGTCAAGAAACAGGGTGAAATGGCTGGTGAGATTGAAGCTGCCGGTGAGCCACCTCCCCGGAGGCACATACAGCAAAGACCCACCAGCCTCCGGCCCGAATCCGGCGAGGTGGTCGACAGCCGCCCGGAAAGCGGCGGTGTTCAGCGTGACTCCGTCGCCAACTCCACCGAAGTCCGTCAGCGCCGCCGTGTGGGACCTACAGCTGGTTGTGGCAGAGTACTTGAACCTGTGCGACCCGTGAACCCCTCTGTGCCCACAAACCCCATTTGAACAGCTCACCAGAACCAATAAAGTCACCAGTTCACCGAGTCTCCCAATTATCTGTAATAAAAAAAAGAGAATTCAAACAAAAAGAATGTGTTTAGTATTTTTCCAGAAATCGAGTTATGAAAAGGTGGAACTAATAGAGCTTTATTCTGGGAAATGATTTACATGGTTAGGTTTGGGATTTCTGGGGAAGTCCATAGCAGAATTGATGGTTTGAATTAAGTAAATGGGAATGGGATGATATATAATAGGCTCCAAGTTCAACTGTAAATATAAGTGGTGGTGGGAGAACAGGAGAAGTTCGTGGGGGGAGATGAATGCACTTTGAAGCAAAGAAAAGAAAATTAGAGTGGAATTGAATGATGATAGAGCACATGAAAGCCGTTACTTTTTCAACTTAACCCAATGACTTGTTTCATCTCCAAAAACAATGGTCATAGTGTTTATATTTAAAATATACCCCGGAATATATCTTCTCATATTTTTATAGGTTTATATGTGGATATTTTATATTTTGCAAAAAAATCACACTTTTTGCAAAAAACATAATATACTCTGTCCGTTCCAATTTTTATTTACAAATTAGTACATCAATAAAAAAATTACAGAATGCATATTAAAAGTTTGCGTCAAAAGTTCTACAAAATAAGAGATAACAAGAATATTTTATTTTATCAAATAATCAATGAAGTACACAAATAAACAAAAGTTATCAAGAGGTGAGAGAAAAAAAATTGTAATCAAAATTGGGATGGAGGGAGTAATTCTTTTACGATACTCCGTGCAATTCTAAATGTATAAATCTTATTTTTAAATTTTACATTAATACTCTCTCCGTCTAAATTTAGGTCTTTTTCTCTTCAAATTATTCTTATTACTTATTACTTTTCTTATTAGAATCAGTTCAGATCGGACGAGACCAAAAACAACTTTAAATATATCTACATTAATATCAAAATTTATTCCAATCAAAAACAAAATCATTCAAATCAGGTGAAGAGAACATGGTCTTAATCTTCATATTTGAAATTTTATAGTCTAACACTTTGACCATTAGTATCGGTATTTTTACTGATATATTTTACTTCCTCTATTTTATTTTCATTTTTAATTCTTTACATAAAATACTTTCGTTTTCTATTCAGAAATCTATTTTACCACTTGATGAGGTATTGGGCCTCCGGGGTCTAGGCCCAAACCAATCCCCAAAAGAAGGATCCACAAGAATGACTTGGGCAAGAACAGAGCGGACCGCTAGGCGAGGAGAAAAGCGGGCAGGTCAGGCCGAAAAAAGCAAAGAATAGGTCTTTAGCTAACTCACGCATGAAGAACGAATTAGCCCCGACCCATTTTCCCGTCCTTTGATTGTGCGAAATTGCTGATTAGACAAGATTACATTGCTAGGCCGAGCGGCAATAGCAGAGAAGGACCAAGGGTGGTTGAACCTTCCATGTCTATCACCTTCTTCCTTGTACTCTCTCAATGTTATTAGGCCTATAGATATAGGCAAAATCCATTGTAAACGTATGTACGAGATCCACAAACCAAACTTGAGTATCTACTTAATTACTTTATGTGGGCCGGTTTCAGACTGAGTTCTGGGTGAACTACACCCATCAGAGAGTTACACTATTCCAAATAGATGGTTCCTACCCCATTATGTAGTTTATTGTGGGTACAAGCTGTTTTGGAAGTATTTTAGACATTTTAGGAAGAATAGAAGTATTTTATAAGGTGCATAAAAAAATTAGGGCAGAAATGTTTTGTGAAACAGAGAAAAGTATACTATTTAGTCCTATTAGGTGAATAAACATAGGAATACATAATTGGATATATAAACTCAGTTTTCTTATCTAGTTTACCAAGATAACTAGATAAATTAGTCTATACAAATTGTGAAAGCAACTCGGCATAGTGACAATAAAACCACCTCATCTCAGACTTTCTTCACATCAAGTCTCACTCATTCACTTAAAAGTTTGAGATTATAAGATTACACAAATAGTTTGAGAGCACGAATAATGGCAAAGCAAAAATGGAATATCACATGTTGATGTGGAACATTTAAACTAATGAAAAACAGTCTAGACAACGTGTGACAAGTGAGTTGAATGAGAGGTCATTTTTTGTCACAAATTACATTTTTTAATATATTTTAATTATTTAAAATTATTTTACGTATTTTTCAAAAAAAATTTGATGTACTCTTTAAAAAAATACTTCATTCTAGTAAAAAAAAGCATGAAGTCGCGCCGGCAGGTGTCACTCCATGATTTGAAGGGGAGAAAGGTGAGGTGATAGGCGTGGCAGTGGCCTCTCCACGCCGATGTCAATGCTTTAAGTCTATATTTTTACTCAGTGAGACACCAATCAAACCACACGAAAAAAATAGAACCAACTTATTATATAGGTCATCTTACCTCTAATATAATGGCCGCGATGCTCAAAGTTCCCAAAAACAGAGAAAGGGATGTTCATAAGTACCACAATTATGTTTTAGTATTATTTAAGTAAATTTATCTTATTTATTACTCCATGTTACACTATGGATAGCTCTTATGAAGTATGGACTACACTTTCATATGATAATTATAGAAATCTTCATCATATATAAATGGCGTACACGTTTGATCCATGAACTTCAAATTAAACCTTTCTTCATCTCTCTTAATTATGAGTAGTTTCTTTAATTTATTAATGTAATTAAAGTTGTTGCTTTATTGCGATCCAAAAACATTTATTATATTGTTTTATCGTCACAAAAAGAAAATAGTCAAAATACGTCTCGCTAGGCAATAATAATGTAGCTAATGCATTGCGTATATTTTTTAAAAAAAATCGTGCAATTTGTCAAAAACGATTAATTTTAGAGAAGGGCGGAATATTAATCAATGTCGACTTATATCAAATCAATATATCCAAGGAATTATTTCTTTTTAAGACTTTAGTCAAACTAGATTCATATTCATGCATGTAAAATAATAAATAACGCTATATTGATTGAATAAATAAGAGAGGAATAGAAATTATGTATTTATAAGTGGAAGAATATTATATAAGGTAATATTATATAACAATAACTCTAACTATAATAGGTAACAATCATAATTATAATATAATACTAAATATATTAAAATAATTAATATATTTAACATGCTACCAACGTCTTGGAAGGTGAAGATTGAACGCCAACTTTTACTTGAATTGTGACCAGAATGGTAATCAGAAGCTAGAGGCATATCTTCGGCTTGAGTAGACTGAATGTATCCGGCCCAGAAGAGAAGAAGAAAGATTGCCAGGAAAGAGATATGATGGCGCTGATGAGGAGAGGAGAAAAGTCACTGCGAACAGACTCATGCTGCTGACGTCGAAAGAGGGAGAAGGTTGACGTGCGCTAGAGTCGTGCACGACTAGTTTAGAGGAGAAACAAAAAGAATAAAGTGTTGCTAGGGGTGCTTGTTAACTGAAGATATGCCTACTGAGCACATTGATGTTACAATCTCATCTTAAATCAAGAAGCGGCGGTGATGGATCTAGAAACAGACGGTTGTGGTTGGCTGAGAATATTTTTTTTGCTAGATGGAATTATGAAAGAATTGGGATCAAAGGAAGAACAAGCTAAAGTAAAAGTGGGGCCGCCGTCGCCGGACAAACCACTGGCAGCGGTGGCGGAAGCAAAAACTATTAGGTCACCAAGATCAAAGACTCTGATACCATGTAAAAAATAAAGAACGCTATATTGATTGAATGAATAATAGAGGAATACAAATTATGTATTTATAGGTGGAGGAATATATTCTAGAATCCTCCACATTAATGACTAATTATATAAGGTAATATTATATAATAATAACTCTAACTATAATAGGTAACAACCATAATTATAATATAATACTAAATATATTAAAAGAATTAATATATTTAACAATACATAACACGGTAAGAAAAATATTTTTAAAGGCTTTTTTAAATGAGAACAATTATTAACACTACAAAAAAACGCATTATTGGCACGGACGTCGATTTTAATTTTTCGTGGCTATATCCGTGCCTACATCTGTAATTTATGTTCGGCATAATTAATGCGTGTAATGGCAGGGTTATAGGCACTGATATATCCGTGCCTACGTCTGTAACTTATGCGCGTCATAATTAATGCAGGCAACGGCTTTGTCAGAGAAGGTTCTAGTATCGGCCGTAGGCACGGACTATTCCGTGCCTATGTTTTGGACTTAACATCGTCGAGTGAAGCCGGTGACGGTTTTAGAATTACGGTGTTGGCACGGATGTAGGCACGGAAAAGCCAGAGCCAACGCCCTTCACGTATTAAATAGCGAAGCGTGGTGTTAATTTTTTTCCTCGGTGAAGACACGGAACGTCCATGCCTATAATTCCGTGCCAATTACGCAGTTTTTTGTAGTGTAAATTTAATGAGATAAATCAAGTTAAAACAAAGACTTAAAAAAAGAAATTAGAAGTACATTTATCTTGATATGATGATGCATAACAATTTGAATAATAACTACACCATTCGTCTAAAAAAAAGTGGTTCATATACATTACTATTTATATGATCAAATTATATTTTCCTTCATCACATATTTTTAATGACTTTTTAGAAAAAATTAAAGAAAATATCCTAAATAGGAGTAAAATATATGTCATATCTTTAAAATAGGAGTCCAAACTTAAACTTCTCTAAATAATAATAATTAATTAAATTTTGTTTTCATTTACTCTTCCGCACAAACCACACCACATCCCAGCCCAGTGTGATCGAAAAAGTCACCTGACTCCTTCCCAATCTCATTCTTCTTTGGTCTTTTTTATTCTAATCTCAGTTCTTGACGTTGTCAACCTAATCTCAAGCTCCTCTGCGCCGCTACCATCTCTTCTGTGTGGCAATGATACACTGCACTCTCTATCATCTCCCTTTCTCTCATACACACAATCTCCTTCCACCCCTCTTCACCATTTCCATTTTCCATCGCTCGGATGACTCCCTCCCTTGGATAAGTTTGAATTTAATTTAATATTTAATTTGACATAAGTAGTTAAATTCAATTTTAAATCTAAAAATTTACTTCTTGGGGAATTATTTTGTAAAATTGGTACTAATTCTTTAGCCTTGCGTGAGTTTGAAACTTTGAATTCAACTTTATATTCAATTTCACATAAGTTCTGACATTTGATTTTAAATCTAAATTTACTTCTTAGAAAATTATATTGTTAAACATATACTGAAACTAAAGGATTATTGTGTTGACAAATAGAGCTTCTTGATGTTTAACTTTTTTGAGATTATGCATTAACATATGTGTGATATGTAACATTATATTCCTAATTCCTACCCATAACTCCAAGCCAAGGTCCATCCCTCTCTTAAGTGTACACGCATGCAAGAAAAAGAAAAAAAAGGAAAAGAAGGGAGAAGAGGCCGTAAGAACTACAGAGTACAAATGAATTGCTGGTTGAAGACAAAAAATTTTTAATTACTCCTATTTAGGGCCTATTCTTTAGAATTGGAAAAAAGAGCTGAATATTGAAGAAAATGGAAGAAATTGGAAGGAATTGAAAGAACTCAAAGAAATTGGAAAAATTGAAAAAAATTAAAAAAACTGAAAAAACTAGAAAAAATGGAAAAATCTTAAAAAACTTTAAAAAAAATTTATGTCTGGTTTTATATTATTCACATTCTGATTCTTGTTGTTATAAATTATTATTATTATTATTACTATTATTATTATTATTATTATTATTATCACGTTGGTGGTGGTGGTGGTGGTATAGTGGTGTTATCACGTTATCTTAATGATTATCTTTAAGATAAAAAATATTACGAGTATTATTTTTCATATATAAAAAGCTAGTTTAAAAAAATAATTAGAATATAAAATTAGCATAAATATTACACTTCTTGGGTTATTTTTTCTTTTTCAAAATGTAATTTTCTCTTGGTTTTCATAATATTATTCTTCCAGACCCTTAAATGTAATTTACCTTATATAAATTTAGATTAAAAATATTCTATATGACTATTTATCCATAATTTTTAAAATAGTTTCCTAATTTTTCATTTAGATTGATATACAAAAAACGGTATTATTCATATTAAAAAGTTGAATAAACTGGAAGAATAAATGTGAATCATAAAAATAGTGAGATGAAAAAATGAAATAATTTATAAACTATAGTTATGAATATAAAAGTTGTAATTAAAAAAAAGTTGTAATAATAATAATAATAATATATATTTTTTAGAGTGACTTGTCAGAAAGTAGAAAGAAGTTGAAGAAAATAAATATAGTTGGAAAAAATTAGAAGAAACTGGAAAAAACTGGAAGAAACTGGAAGGAACTGGAAAAAACTGGAAGAAATTGGAAAAAACTGGAAGAATTGGAAGAAACTGGAAAGAACTGGAAGAAACTAGAAAAAACTGGAAGTTAAGATTCAAGCTCTAAAGAACAGGCCCTTAGGGGAGTTTAAGTTTGAGCTCCTATGTTGAGAATATGACATAACTTTTTACTCCTAGTTTACTCCTTCTCCCAAAAAAGTAATTAGTCAAGTCACTTATTGTTTTATAGCACATTTGATGTAGTTTTAAATACTACGCGTATATTTTTTATATTTTTTATTATACATCAACTTTCATATAAATTGAATTAAAAATTTGATTTCAAAATTAACTAAATTTGAAGGTGCAATTAAAAAGGTGAGTTCAGATCGGCGGCAATAAAGAAAGATATATCAGAGTAAGAAAGTTCAATTTTACGAACGAGGAGCCCTAATTTAGACCCCATTGTCCCCGTGCCATCATATGAAAGTTCGGTAAACGGGTAATTAAACTACTGCGAGTGCTTCTTTGGTGCAACTTGAGTGCATCCCATTTTAATGGATCTTCTCACATAATTTTTTTATATGTGTATTAAAAATAAATGCTTATTTAAATAATAAGAAAATATTTATTTTACTCATATGTAGGTCCATATTGAACCTTAGGTCCATCATAAAATTTGTGTACTGTGAATGGGTTTACCGGAAGCAGAAGCCCAACGCTTCGGTAAACTCCTCCGGATGGGTTTAGCGGAAGCCGAATGCTCCGCTAAGAGCACTGGCAATACCTGTGAAGCATCCACCGAGAATTCAAATTTTCTTTCTCTGACGCATCAGTTTTATACACACATCTTCTAAAATTAAATTAATAAAATTTAATTATTTAATTGGATTGAAACGAGAATAATTCATAAAAAAATTACATTCATTACATAAAAAAATAAAACGACATTAAGTCATAAAAATTACATTCAATAAAAAAGAATATTTAATAAAAAATACATTAATAAAAAAACTAAGGCAAATTATATTTAGCCTTGATCTCTTTTTGTCTTATCTCGTAAAGCATGCGTTTGAACCCTGATAACGTATCAAGGTTGGTTTCCATTATTTCGATCCCTTCCTTCTGTTGCCTTCGTTTCTTCCTCTCTTCTTCTCTAATATTGAACACCCGAAGTTGTTCAACCATTGCCCGACCGATATCGTGAGAGGAAACAGAGTCGGACCTACCAGAATCCGAGGCAATGGATATTACCTTCTTTCTTCCGATCGACCGTGGAATGGGGTCCTCGTCATCAGAATCGTCTATGTTGAAGGGAGGCCTTTGTTCGGATGAACCGATAGTGTCACCGACCTCAACCTCGGCCTCGGCGGAGGATCTTTTCTTTGATCCGGCCTCGGGGTTGTTGAGTTGTTGCCATTTAGGTGAACAACTTAAAATTCTCCAAAGATTGACAGGGACATTGCCTTGGTGTCTGGCGTCTTGATACTGGGCGGTGGCTTGCCGCAAAACATTGGCATCGTTCATCCTGCTCTTTCGGGACCGAGAGCATTCCTCGTAAACTCTGATAAACTTTCGGACTTTACGGTTGATGTGGCCCCATTTTGAAGTGATTTCGTCTCAGGTATGGTACAAGGCGTCCTTGTTCATTGCCGCAAAGAACTTTACCTCGATACGATCCCACATCGCATCCTTCGTTTGCTCAGAACCTTTAAAAAGTATATAATTGAATGGAAAAATATATTTTAACACAAACATATTAAAAAAACATATAAATTTTGCCAACAATAGGATGCTCGGAGATGTCAACCCAAGCTGACGCCAACAATGATTCTTCCTTCAGCGTCCACATTTGAATGGACCGTACCGCCTCGGTCATCGGCTTGTAGGCCTTCACTTTGTGACTCTTCCAACGTGCATTTTTTTGGTGCACTTTGTTCTGGTTGAGTTTCTAGTACCACCTCTGGGTCCTCGAGATTTACCGAGTTTTGTGTATCGAACACCGACAGATTATTTTTGTACGATTAGAAAATCCACATCGCTTGCTCGTTTGGCTCAAGACCGGACGAAGGAACGTTAAAACCGAAGAGATTCATGTTGAAAAAGAGAAAAAAAATTGAAGAATTTTTTTAATTTGAAGAGAGAGATAGAGAGATGTGTGTGTTTGATTTTTAAAAAATGAATAAAATTTATAGGAAGATGATTTTTTTTTGTTTTAATGGCTAAATAGTCGTTCGAGGGGGGGGAGCTAACGGCCGAAAAGGAACGACCATTTGGAGCGTCAAATGTTTGGCGCTAGCCCCCTAACGCCGAGATAACGCGTCTAAGGGGCGGTGTTTAACGCCACACTGATGTTAAACGCTGGTTGACGCTAGGGCTGGGCACGGATCGGGACGGTCCGGGTTTTAAGTTGTCCCACGTCTTGTCCCGTTATATATAAACGGTCCAGAACGGTTCGGATTACAATCTTATCCCGGTTTGTCCCATAAAATTCGGGATCGGAATAAACCGGGACGGATTCGGGTCGTCCTACTTTGTCCTAATCGCAAATATAAGAAGAGGGAGATGATGACATTTCATTCAAAAAAATGAAAACTCTAGCCATCCAACAATAAACAATGAGTGGAACGGGTCCAAATAAATTTCAAGGCTATGAAGTTAATTTAATTAAATAACTAATTAATTAAAGAATGAGTGTATTTGGATTTTGGACTAGAATTAGTATTATATATTAGTAGAGTAGATGAAACGGGACGGCATGGTATAAATTTAAGGTGTTCCGCTCATGTCCCATTTGATATTGGGATGGAACGGGTTTGGGATAAAAAATGTGTCCCAATATTAGTACAATTACAAAACGGATCCAATATTTTTTGAAACAGTTCAACGGGAACTGATTTCAGGCCCACTCCTAGTTACGCACCCAACTAGCGTAATGTGTTTTTCCATTGCTCTAAGCGCAGAAGAGTTGAGGCCCATCCGGTCCAAAAGAAATCAAAGTGTTATTCAGAATATGGGCGGGCCCGATCCACTAAGCTAGGATCTTCACGAAATTTCTAGTCCTTCTACGAGGTCGTTTTATCTTCTCTTTTTTTCCCTTATCAACGGTCGCTTCAATTCTTCACAACGGAGAGGAAGAAGATCCACAATTATGATCGCCAGGTGCGCCGTTCTTTTTCTATCTCTTTTTTTGTTGTTAAATTCATGTGTGTTTTTTTTCTAATTCGGGCGAATCAGATTATCTCAGTAGTTTTTACGTTATTTGTTTGGGATGCTTCCGGTTATGAATCTTGATCTTCTTTCGATGATTTGAGTGATAAATTGCATGATTATAGATTTAAAAACCAGTATGACAAACGGGTTAAGCGGGTTAAATTTATCTTAAAAAACAGAGAAATTTGAAAGAAAAAAAACAGCTATGTTTAAGGATATTAATAGAGTAAATTCACTATTCATTTTATAATTTTATAATATATTATAATCATGTCACTTTTTTTTTGTAAAATTTTATGCCTAAAAAAATCTGATGCACAAAATTGCCACCATTTTTTTTAATGAATTTGTAGTGGGTATTAGTTTAACTTTAAAAAAAATCAACACTCTAAATTTAATTCACTACCCTATAAATTTTTTCCCCAGATTTTCTCAAAAACAGAACATTTTTTCGGTTAGTAAACGGACAACTAATTGTATCTATTGTTTTAGGTATGCGTGAAGCTGCTCGTTTGTTGTTTGCTGTGGAGAAACTTAGACCCACTCATCAACTGAAAGGGAGATGGGGTATACTTTTACACCAAACAAATCTTTCAAGCATGTCTCACTCCATTAGTTCAAAGAAGTTATAAATTACAAAGTTCATCATTTGAAGGGATTATGTTTTTGGTACAGTTGGGACTATGATGCCTAGGAGACAAGAAAGTGATGATAGAGGAGGAGGAGGAGAAGGAGGAAGAGGGCAGATTGGGAAAGAAAATCACGATCCCGTCGCTGCCTTTAGCAGTCCGCCACCAATTCCACCTTTCATGGGACCTCTGGTTGTTCTTTCATTGTTGCAACCAAGGGACGGAAACGATGTCCGATCATGAGAGGTGACCCTTTGTTTCATGCATCTTGAATGAATGTAGAGTTGAAACTTGGAAGTGATGCGTCCTTGAAGTTGTTTTCTGCTGATCGTGTGTCTTGCTATAGCTTACTAAACTTAAACGTAGACTGTTTTGTGTCATACTACGTATATGATTAGTAAAATAAGAGATGGAGAGAACTCCAAAAGTGGTTGATTTCTTCCACTACTTGTTGAAATTCTTCATCACTAATTGTACTAATTTGAATGCGAGGCTTAGAAAGGCAGCAGTGAGTCTCATCAGCTTGACGTACCATGAGATGAACGGACGTATCATAGGACTTAAAACAATCTTGTATATGTATACTAACATTTCAAACATAGCGGAGGGGCTATTTAGGAACCCTGCATGAAAATATATGTTGTGTGTCAATATGATTTTCAATTTCTTCTAAATTAGCTCAGGGGTGAAACAACACTTGAAAGGAACTGACTTACTCTCAGTGGCTCCTGGAAATGCATCAAAAACTGCATTTGTGCCCTTCAACATGGCCTGCTTTGTCAACAGACCATATGCATTGCATTTGAGAATATATCAAGAAAAATGGTCATAGTATTTCATATTTTTGTCTTAAAATGTGGCTCAAATGCCTTAAATGTTGGTTTATATTTTTAGAGTATGTCAATGTGGGTTGTGGCATGACTTAACACTTAAATAAATGAAACAATGGATAATCTTTGAAGTTTTTTTATTTTTATTTTTTTGGATTATGAGAATCATGTAGTTTTGGGCATTACCAGTGAGAGGCCTCCTGGTTTAAATGGTGATTCAATCATAACTTGAGCTTTCCTGCATTTAATGCAAATTGCAGAAGAGCCATGTTAGGAGGTATGAATGATTGAGTCGATCAGATTCAAAATTTGTTGAGCAGTGTGGGTTTTAATTACTTGATGACTAGTTTTTCTCCTTCTCTTGAGTGTTCATAGTAGCTGCAACCTCTAGTAAAAGGAATCTGCATCTTCTTCCATTCTGCATTTACAGTTGTATGTAGCATTGAGACATTATATGCATGCTGACAACGATTGTGAATCCAAGTGTTTGACATCATTCTACATCGTTCGATTTATATAAGTATACGAATAAAAACCCAAACTAATGTGTGTAGAGTTTACCTAAATGCCACTTGACAGCGACTGTTTGGTCAACACCTCCACAAACATGTTCTATGATGAATTCTGTGTTCTGACCCATAGATGTGATCAACTCCTCAAGAAAACCCAAAGCCTCCTTCTTCCCTTGGAATGGCATAGGGAAGGATAAGTCATCAATGAAACAATCTTTAGACAAGAGTGTTTCAAGGCTCTTCATGTCCTTTTTGTTGATGCTGGAGTACAACTCCTTGACAATCTTCTGCGATTCATAATCTGAACCGGTGCTGCCTGTATAAGAACCACCAATTGCTGATTTAACCACTAAGTGCAAAGGTTTTTTCTTCGTTATCCCTTTTCCTGTGGGAAAAAGTCGCTTTTTCTCCACGCCGTGAAGTTTCACGGCTGGGAATGGCAAAAGGCGACAATGGCAATTTCCCACCCCTTTTGACCACAGGGGTTGCTGTGTTATAGCAACGCCTGAAAGCGCCATGGAGTTTTTTTTAAGGAGAAAGAAGACATGTAAGGTGAATTTATATTTGTGGCCTGAGGAGGAACCAATTGAGAGGTTTGATTGTTTCTTTGATTCCAATAAAAGAACCTTTTTTGGAAGCTCTTCAAGGCTTTGTAGTTGTTGTTTTGGTTTCTTGGTGAACAACTGTGTGGGGAAGGAATAAAAATGGAAAATATTGGGAGAAGAAAAGAACAATATGAGGGATGATTGGGAAGATGACATTAGAGTATTGCCTTGTGAAAAGTTCATCACTCGCTGAAACTCAACACCAGAGAAGCAAATGTTTTACTCTGCAGTTTAAAACATTTGGTCAAGCTTTTTAGAGATGGAGGGAGTATAACAAATGATGATTTAGACAAATATATAAAGAAAGAGATAATAATTATGGTATTTGTGTTGTGTTTGTGCCAATTTGTCACTATGTGTCTATGCAAAATCGATGGGGTTCTCATGATATTGGATAGGGGTGTGCACAATTTGGTAAACTGACCGAACTGAACTGAAACCCAAAATTTGGTACGCACCGAAACCGAATCAAATAATTCAGTTCGGTATTCGGTTCTCATATTTTGAAAAAATCGGTTTTTGGTTCGGTAGAAAATTTGGAGCCGGTATTTCGGTAAAAATCGAATACCGAAATTATTTAATACTTATGCATAATTTTACCCATTTCTACTCAATCCAATACCCAATATCTAGCCCAATATTGAAATAATGAATATCCAGTCCACTAAGTTTAAGTCCTATTATTTAAATTTGGAGTTATTGAAGATTGGAAATCATGAAAGCATCAAATTAATAATACTGGTAAATATTTTTATTTTTCGAAATGGATAATTGTGTTATTTGTATCAACTATTTTGTTTATTTTATGTAATGGTTCTAATTGTGCTATGTTATTTAACTATGGAGTGTGTAATGAACTTATATGTAATTGATTGTGCTTTGTTATTTTCAATTTGGAAAATGCAATGGATTTTTTAAAGTTCAAACTTTGGTTTATGTTCGTTTTTTGGTAAAACTGATTACCAAACCAATTTAATTTGGTTTTTACCGAACCGAACCATTTGTTTTCGGTTCGGTATTTGGTACAAAAAATAAATTACCAAAATTTTGGTTTACCGAATTTTCGGTTCGGTTTGGTTTTACCGAACACTCCTAATATTGGAAATTCATAAAGGCGCTCCGGTGCCCCATTCATAAAACTGACGTTTCCTACCCCCGAACTCCTCCGGTGAATCCTGCGACCCCGCCCCACCCAAACACACCCCCACCCTTCAATTGCACCCCACAAGTTAATTTTGACTTTGGAATCAAAATTTGACTCCGAAGTCAAAATTAACTTATGGGGTGTAATTGAAGGGGGTGGGGTGTGTTCGGGTTGAGGCGCGGTGGAGGGTTTACCGGGGGAGTTAGAGGGTTAGATGGGTAAGAACTGTCAATTTTACGAACGGGATACCAGAGCGGCCCCGAGTCATTCCGTGATATTGCCGGATAATATCATGGGAACCATCCCCTTGCAAAATAGATGTGTATTTGAGGAGTTGAGTTACACTTAAAAAGAGGAAAAATACATCTGTTTCATCCTCCTTCCCATATTAAATTTTTCATAATTTTTTCATAATTTTTCTAAAGAATCCATGAAAAAGCAAAACAATTGAACTTATGCAGTGGAGGGAGAAATACGGAGTAATGTTGAATATTTTTGGTCACTATTGTCAAAAAATGACATGATCAGCTTTGACCCGAGACTCGATCTGTTTTTGACCTGAACCTGACTTGAAAATAATGAGTTTTGAACAAATGTTTTATCGACCGAATCTGAAATAATATCTAAAAAGGAATCATGCCCGACAAAACTCGATCTGACTGACCCGCAAATGTAAGAATTTTTTAAAATCATATACTCCCTCCGTCCTAAAATTAATTTCCAGTTTGACTTTTACAGTCAAACTTTTTAAACTTTAACCATATATTACGAAAAAATATATATTGAATTTTCATATAAATATATTATCAATAAATTTATTTAAAAACATAGTTTTGAAATATGTTATTTTTGAAATATATACTCATATAAAAATGGAGATATTAATGGTCAAAATGTCGCATTGGAAACTGTGAAAAGTCAAATGAGAAGTTAATTTTATGACGGAGGAAGTACTTTAATATGAAATATAATCATATAAAAATAAGATTATAACCATGTTTTTTCTTACTACTCGTTTTTAATATATAAATTTTATTTTCAAACAAAAATTTAATGATATCATATAATTATCAATTTTTAAAATTTCTGCATATTTAGTTTTTTTATTCGTAATATGAGTACTAGAAATCATTTAAAATTTCAAAAAATAAATAAAAGTCATAACGCATTAGGTCACCCGAATATGATGACACTGGGTCATGAACATGTAATTTTCAACTCGAATTTGAATGTACCTGAAGCCAAAGTAACTCGAACCCAAAGTGATCGAAACCAAACTCGACCTGATCGAATGATTTGTCAGCTCTAGTCACTAATAACTGTTGTTCCTTCCGTTCCAATTTAAATTGTCTATTTCGGTTTACAATCTTTGGCTGATGTTTTTTAAATTATTTAATATGAAAAATGCTGTAGAATTAAATAATAAAAAAACATATTTAAATACTGCATCAAAATATCTACAAAATTAGTGGTGATATAACTATATTATTTTATCAAACAACTAATGAAAATAGGAAAAAAGTGAATAAAGTTTATTTGTGTGAAAAATAAATAGACAATTCGATTTGGGACAGAAGAAGTATAATGTAATACCCGTTTATATTTTATTCAAAAGTTCGAAAAGTTATCATCTCCATTGAGATTCAAACGTGTTGATTATTCAATGCTTTTAGAGTCTGTTTGGTCTGTTTTGGAGATATGATGTGACATGTGTTTTACAATCTGGATGAAATAATATAAGTACTGAAATCTGAAAGAAAAATATTTAGAGAAAACATATATGAAATCATATTACTCTCACAACTAGTTGGTGAGCAATTAAGAAATTATATGTAAAGGTTGGTTAATATTTATTATAGACGTGCAGAGTGTTATTTAAGTTAAAATTTCTCCATAATTTGTTTAAAATGTCGAATTAAAATACTTTAATTCTTGTTAGTAGAGCTTTGATTTCAATTTTACTTTTTCCCGGTACTATTTATTCTAATAAAAACAATTTACTAATTTTATTTTACTAAAATTAAAATTAATTTTTTGTTTACTTGTTCTGAGTGAATATTTTTAATTAAAATGTTACATAATCCGCAGTACATATATGTTTTGGTTAGACTCCCGAAATAATAAAATTAAAGAACATATAGATACATTACTTATATACACGTGTGTGTGCGCGCGTGTGTCTATATATATATATATATATATATATATATATATATATATATATATATATATATATACACACACACACACACAACAACAACAACAACAACCCAGTTAAATCCCACAAGAGTAGGGTCTGGGGAGGGTGTGTGTACGCAGACCTTGCCCCTACTTGAAAGTAGAGAGGCTGTTTCCAAAGAGACCCCCAGCTCAACGTCGAAAGTTGCATTGCTTGACTAACTGCTACTTCATTAATTAAAGAAGCGCAGACAGTTTAGAGATCCATTTTGATTTATTTCATCACACCCCAAAGCCAAAAAATGGTGAAATTTTGGCTCCATCGGAGATGATGGAAATTTTGACTAACTGCTACTTCATTATATATATATATATATATATATGTATGTATGTATGTATGTATGTATGTATGTATGTATGTATGTATGTATGTATGTATGTATGTATGTATGTATCTGCACTTAAAACGCAACACATATTAAAATAGTAACACGCATATTATTAAAACAAGGAAAAATTACCCAAAATAATCCCAACTTTACCCGATCTTTTAAAAATAATCCCACCTTTCATTGTGATGCATAATAATCCCAACTTTATTGAAATTTGTGAGTTTTGGGTCGCCGTTAAGTTTTTAATGGAGGGTTAACGGAAATGCCTGTTTTGGGCAACAAAATGAAAGTTGGGATTATTTTTAATGAATTTTAATTTTTTTAATTTTTTTTGAAATTTTTATTTAAATTTTTGGAATTACTTTCAACCTCCATTTCTTTTTCTTTTTAAAGTTATTCTTCCTTACAAAAAATAAAAAAATAGATATAAAAAACAATGAAAATGAGAAAAATAACTAAAACCATACAAAATTAATGAAATAAATAATGTAATCAATAGAAATTAAACAGAAACTGGTAAGAAATAAAATAAATATATACGGAGTGGTGGGTTTTAACATTTTATACACTATACGGAGTCTTAGGGCTGTTTGTTTCAGCCTCTTAATGGTTCAGATGTCTGAATGGTTCATCACTTAATGGTTCAGACCTCTTACTGGTTCAACACTTACCGATTCAGAAGTTTTCAAACAGCCCCTTAACGTACTACTTATTTTTTTAAAAGAACAAGCCGTCTAGTAAAGTTCGAATTATTGTAGATAATTTTTTCTAAAAAATAAGAAGTGATACGTTAATACTTTGTATAGTGCGTAAAATATTAAAATCCACCCGTATATTTTTATTTTATTTATTACCAATTTCAAGTTAGTTTCTATTGATTACCTTATTTATTTTATTATTTTTGTATCATTTTAGTTACATTTCTCATTTTTTATTTTTTTATATCTATTATTTTTATTTTTTTAAGCTAAGACTAATCTTTAAAAAGGGAAAAAATGATGATGGAGGTAGAAAATAATTTTAAAAATTTAAATGAAAAATTCAAAAATAAATAAAAAAATGAAAATACGTCAAAAATAATCCCAACTTTTATTTTGTTGCCCAAAACAGACATTTCCGTTTACCCTCCGTTAGAAACTTAATGGCGACCCAAAACTCGCAAAATTTAGTAAAGTTCGGATTATTATGCATCACACATCACACTGAAAGGTGGGATTATTTTTGAAAGATCGGGTAAAGTTTGAATTATTTTGGATAATTTTTCCTTAAAACAATAGCGAGTAATATTCACAAGTAAATGTGACATTTGTAGCACGCAAAATAT